AAGATGCAGTAAGGCGCACTTATGTTATCTTCCCTATATGTATATATGTACATATGTATATGCATATATTAATATTATATCTTTTAGTTATATATATATATATTACCAAAAAACAACAACAACAGTTTAATGGCTGCCCAGTTACTAAGGGTCACAGTCTAAATTTCATAACTGGTTGCGTCGGCAGCGCAAACGCGTCGCGCAGTCAACGTCAAGATTGACTCCGACGCCGATGCCGACGTCAACGCCGACGCACAGGTTGGAGCGGCTCATGCGCTCGCTCGCTCKCTCGCTCATTGCGGGGCTTCGTCTCTGGCTACCTCTCCATTCGATACGCGTCTGTTGCGAGCGCCAGTCGCAGTCGTCGCGAGTGTTGAACAGCGGCCCAGCAAAACGGAAACCTGATTTCAAAATAATCAAAGAAAACACCAAATTTATGAAATATAATTTAATGCAAATTAATTAAGGGCTGCATATCGAATGCTCGAATCAGCAAACAAAAGTAGAAAAAAAAAACAAAGTAATGAAAAAATTTAAAGAAAAAAATTAAATTAAAAATTCCTTAACTTTTGCTGCTGCAGCAATTTTTACAAGACGTCAACGCTAAGTGGCGCCATCTACAGTCTCGTTCTGCTGCAAAACAAGGAAAGTGGTTGCCATAGGTGTGTGCGGGAGTGCGTGTGTGTGCGTGCGTGTGTGTTTTTAGTGCTGTGTTATTAAGTGCACTACTCCATCAATTCAGCTGATTACAACGCTTGGGAATAGCTAAAGTAATTACAAATCTATATACACAACATATGCATATATGTATATGTATATATGTAAATATATGAATCCATCAGATAAAGGAATACTTCATTAGACTTCAAGGTAAGCCGCTAATGTAATTTATAGCCTGATCAGTTAATCAAAGCCCTATAAAATTTTAATCTGCTGCGATAAGCGCGCAATTATAAAGCGATCTCAATTTTATGCAGAAATTGCCAATAGCAGCCGATAAGGCAACAATTTAGGTAAATAATAGCCAAAAATAAGGAAGGTTGAAAATACATAAATAAACATTTCAAATTGTGCTAAGCACCTATTGACAAACTGGCTTAAAACTTGAGCTCATTAGCAAATAAATTTAACAGCTAAAATAGATATATATATATATAAATATATATGTATATACATATGTTCCATATTAACTATAAGACAAACATAGTTAGTCATAGTGTACATATATTNGTAATTATATATAATATATTCTGAACAAATCCAAAGTTTATAATAATATTTTACTTTAGAGTATTTACAATAAATTCACTTTTAAACTCTGAAAGGCATTAAAGATATCATTTATGTTCTTTATTTCTGAATGAATTATTAATACATTCAACATTTTATATGTTCTCTAATTTTTATTGGATTCAAATTTCATGCTATATTTTTCTAAATTTTAAACATTTGTTTTGTTTGCATTGCAGCAACAATTAATTATAATTAATGTCCGCTCGCCGTGTGGGTGTGCCGATTCAGTCTGATCTTTGTCTAGATTTTTTATTTCAATATTTGCCACGTGTCGGCGTTTAATTAAGCTTGCTGCTGTTGCACTTAAGCCACGCCCATTTCCTGTTCTATTGTAATTTATGTAAGTTTCTTAGTGGTTCTACATCAATTTCTGCAGCGGAAACATTTCTGCTTTTTGATGGCTGCGACAAATGCGAAGCATCACATATATTTGGGCACACGCGTCAGGTGTCAGAGCGACGCGACGTTAATTGTGGCAACAACAAGTGGCCAAAGGCCCCCAAACAAAGTCAAAATAAGAAACAAAGCAATAACAACAACAACAAGAACAACAAGAACAACTGCCATGCGAATGGCGTTAAGTTTTCACACAGCTGTGCAACAAATGAAACCTGTCAAACATTTACATGCATCACTCAACATCATTTACACCCACAGTCACACACACACACACACACACACACACATACATATACAGACGCCCGCGATTCTCCAAAATCTTTACAGCAGAGATTCCAAATTTTGTGAACTAAAGCGAAGAAGCAAAACAAGTTAACTGAGTCAAGCAGCTAAAATGGGGGAAAAAAAATAATAATAAAAGCTGGTGTTGCCAAAAATCATAAAAAACGTTTCTGTATAAACTTTTTTTTTTTGGAAAAAAAAACGTGCGAAAAGCGCAGCGCTAGCAATGGCACAGTGGTCTGAAACGTATGTAATCTGGTCCTATACTGTACATACTCTTCTTGAGAGTAATATAGATTTATGATTACTTATGGAATGGAAATAAGTCTGAAGTATATAAGTATATATCTTATACATACACAAATATAACTGAATATTACTATAGATCTATCC